CCACACCAAATTTCTCTGGCACCAACACTTCTGTAATTCCGTTCTCCACTTCCTCCAAACTAAGTAGCACCACATTTCAACCCCCAGCGCCACCGTTCCTCCCAGCCCAATCAACCTCTCATCGAAGGCTTTCTCCCTTGCCATTCTCTCATCTCCCTCTCGCTTCTTTCTTGCCCAAATCTTTTCCGTTAGTGTTAACCTTGTATTTTCTGTCTCGTTAACAAATTTCTTTTTCACTGGCAAGCTTGCTGTATCTACCATTTCACCATCCCCATCAACCTCCACCTTCCCATCACCACTTCAACTAACCCCTCGATGATATTCATGGCAATGGGCGCCACTCATACTTGAAATCTTCCCCTCGCTCCCAATTTTAATACTTCCAGTCTCCCCACTTTTTGGTCGCATTATTACGCTCCTCCTACCTCTACTTTCCCCCGACCTCAAAGCTTTATGATTAACAGGACAAAGTAGGTTGCCTCGAAAGTTGGTCACCGCATCAAGATCCTTAAAAGCATAGTTGTCTTCCCCATTCATCCTGCTGCCTACCCCTACGCCAGCCCCTTCTATGTGATCTTTGCAGACCTTAGATAGGTGCCCCAGGAGACCATAAATTAGGCAGTAGTTTGGAAGACACTCATATTTAAAGTCCACTTAGATCATCCCCTCATAGGGAAATTGTACGAACGTTCATCGCAATAGTGGTTCCTTAACGTTGAAATGGACTTTGACCCTCAGAAATCTGCCAATGCACTCCTTACTCACATTTTTGTCCACTCGGAGGATCGTACCCAACAATCCTCCAATGGCTTGTGCGACCACCCTGGTCGCACTTAGAGGATGAATGTTATGAAGTTACACCAAAAAGGAACCAAGAGTGAGAGGCTCCCATCGATTATTACCTATCTGAGTCATATCCGCCACCATGACTAGGTCTTTGTTGAACGTCCATGGTTGGTTAGCATCTATCACACAAACCATGTCTTGTTCAGTCACAAACCGGGCAAGAAAGCGACGACTGTCCAGATCCTTAATTGAGACCCCGCTCTTATCTCTCCATAGGGAGGTAAATCTATCAATAAACGCATCCCTATGCACCTCATTTTTTGTGAGAACCTCAGCGACGGCACAAAAATGAAAACCAATCAGAGCCTCTTCAAAATCCTTCCTTCCAATCCCCTTCCGCTCATTCTCTGACAGCTTTAGAATGGACCCTAACTTAAACCCTAGTTCCTCCATGTTACCAACCAAGTTTGGTTCACCCATATTTTCCGAGACACCGTCAAACATTAGAAGTCCTAAAGCCAGCCAATGCACGCAAAAGTCAAACCCAAAACCCTACTCATACTTGCTTTCTACCCCGTGTAATCGTTTTCTGTGCAAGCCCAAACCCTAGAAGACAAAACGATGCTTTGACTTTCCAAAACCCTAATCCCTCATTTCGAGGACTGAGATCTTTTTTTTTTTCGTGCTATAATTGAAGAATACGTATGTGGTATTATGAGTTCAAATTTCACAAACGATAATTTTTTTATAATAGAGATAGCCGTTCTGGACATCATGATTTATTCTTATTCAATTTTGTTATATAATAAAACTAAGAGAAAAGACAATACTAAGCTTTGGCTAGTGAATTAGAGACAGTAGCGGATCTACAGAGGGACCTGGGAGGTCCTAGGACCCTTCGACGACCCAATCACTGCTAGAAATTTTTCGAGGACCTTTCGTACTCGAACACGAGGCCTATGATGTGCAGGTTGCAAGTTGCAGTGGCGTCTTCTTTTCAGAGAAGACAATCGCTCGCAGAGAAGAAAAAATATATGACCCTTTTTAACAATTGGGCTAAAACAAGGTATGTCGTTTGTCCATATTGTTTTAAATCCCAACCCACACCTGTCCCCACAGTCCCACCATTCCCCGCTCATATGCTTCCCCCAATGCCCAACTTTAACATATTCACCCAAATTCCCCAGCTCCCCAGATTTCAAAACCCTAAAATTCTAAATCCCATCCAATCCCATATTATAATTTTATTACTCCAAAATCATACATTCACTTGTTTCAAATATCCAGGCCACCACTATTTGGTTCAAAAGTCAAGTAAATTGTTTAATATTCTGATCTAATCTTACTTAAATTATATTAGATATTGATTGAGACTTTTAGTCTATTATTGATATGATTGTTGATATGTTTGTATACTCATTTGATATGTTTGTTAATTGGTATATGGTTAGTGTTTTTTTTTTTTTTTGTTAAATGTGTAGTTTAGAAATAAAAAATATGGAGAGATTTTTCAAGCCAAAGCCAATAGCACCACCTATTTGTTCATTGAGAAAGATGGTTGAGTGACAATTTAGTTGTTTACATTGAGATAGATGTTTTTCATGTATTGGTAATGAAGCTATCATAGAATATTTTTAGACTATAAAACCCCGTTGGGGACACTCACTAGTAGAAAAACATGTTTGCGCGACGAAACCTTGCGCGACGTAGAGCATTTCGTCACGCAAAGTATGTTTGCGCGACGACAACACACAGGACGTCGCGCAAATGGTCTTTGCGCGACGGTACTTTGCGCGACGTAGTAATGCGTCGCGCAAAACAGTTTTGCGCGACGAAGGTACAACTACGTCGCGCAAAACAGTTTTGCGCGACGTCTTGTGCGTCGCGCAAGAGTTTGGCGCCAAACCAAGCTTGTTTTACCGCTTTTTTCGAACTTTGCGCGACGCAGGTTCACTACGTCGCGCAAAACTGTTTTGCGCGACGCATTATGTACATCTTGCGTCGCGCAAAACAGTTTTGCGCGACGTAGTGAACCTGCGTCGCGCAAAGTCAACACGAAAATATACCTTTTTGTCTTTCTTTCCAGTGTTCTAACACTAGTCAAACAGCTAACTGCCTTCCCCTCTTCCTCACCTACAGACCTCCATAGCTGCTGATCACACTCAGGTGATTTAAAAACCTCTATGTTATTTATCCATTTTTTTATATATGATTGTATTGAATTTTTTGTTAATATTACCTAATATATTGAAAATTTTGATCTCCTTATTACCTAATATATTGAAAATTTTGATCTCCTTATTACCTAATATATTGAAAATTTTGATCTCCTATTGATGATGGCACATGATCTTCCCTTCACCAAATTATCTTATGGTGTCTGAACAAATAAATGGTGGGATCCTAAATATAGCTCTATTTGCCTAGCAGTAGCAGACTATGTATGACTATTGTTAATATAACCTAAGCTTTCATGGCAGGGAAATGGTGGGAAACCCGATCATTACTTACCCAAAAAGCTTACGAGAATTAAGATTACCGTCTAAACTGGAGTTCATTATTTGGGATTAAACTATGCCATTCACAGTCACAAAACATCAAAACTAGAAGGAAGTAAAGACAAATATTAGACAATGAAGATAAGAAGTTGTAAAAATCCCACTACTCAAAAGGATAAAAAAGGGTTACTCATGCCAACTAGGATTTGCAATCAACTTGGCAGTTGTAAAACTAGAAAAATGTTTTAAACAACAAGTAAAAGAAGAGAATGGGATAGGAGTGTAGGTCCTTCAAATGCGATGACATGTGTTTTAATGTTTTCACATGACATCGGATTTTAGTTTAGAATGTCACAGACTTACGATGGAGATGTAAGAAACAATTGAGACGCCATTGTTGGAAGAAATCAAACCCACCAAGCACTGTCACGTAGAGAAAGTTAAAATACATGACAATACTTAATTGGGTTAGTTTACTCCACAGTTGCGTCCTAGTTGTAAGTTCGTTCTTGTGTCAACGGGGTTGCTTATTGTTCAATCTAGTTTTTGGCAACCATTCCAAACTGATTAGCACATAGAAGTAGCAGATCATCACTCTGTACACAAAATACTGTAGCAAGACTTTGGATGAATATTTGTTAATCAAAATTGCTAAATTTTATTAAATGCAAAACTCAAGTTACAACAACCTTATATACGAGCTACGTTTTTACAGAGGTAAACTCAGAGCAGTTTGTTTTGATTATTTAAGAAAATTCGTCTTCATCATCGGAGGCCGGCAAACCTTTGAGCACATCTGTTAATGCATAGTAATGGCTCACACACTTGCGGTCAGTTATTATGTTGCTTGAAAGCACAATCCTCTTAAAATGCTCCGCTGCTGCTGGTACGAGCATCCACATTCCTCTTTAGGCAGTAGATGGTACCTAGTACAAATAATTCCTCAGGCACTTTACAAGCAGCTCCTCCACTTTTAATACCACCAGCATTATATGTTACTTCTCTTTCATTTAAAGGGACCCCGGGACCAGTAGGAATTTTCTTTATGATGAGAGCAGTAGGAATTTTTCTTTATGATGGGACCATCTGTTCAGACACCATAAGATAATTTTGGTCATGTTGGAGTTTTTTGGGATTCAATTTGTAATTGATCTTTATTAATTTTATCTATTTTATTTAGCTTTAGTAATTATTGTGATTTAATTTATTTGTATGCACAAATTTTTGTACATCACGTACACAAAATTGTTTTGTGTTGTACGAAATTAATACTACTTAACTTTGTACACTTTTTTTTAAGAAAAGCTTAGTTTCCCGTTTGAGAATTCGTTGGATTTCGTGTATGGATGCGAAAGCATGACTGCGGTCCAATTAATTCTTGAATTGTCCCATTTTATGGACAGTTTGGGAATACATAGTTATGTGTTGTAGTTTGCGGTTCACGGATTAGGTTTCGATAGTGGAAATTTTGGTAACATTTCCTGTTGTTCTTCGAGTACACGGTGGATATTATGTATCTACGGCGTGCACTTGAAGAACTGTAAGGAGATGCTGCCGAAATTAGCCCACGTCGAAATTTAATCCATTGGAATCGTAAATTACGACACATAACTGTGCATTCCTGAATGGGATAGGGCCCTTACCGGAGGAATAAGGTGACAATACAATAGTTGAAGTTGTTGTAACTCTTGTACTTTTATTGGGATTGCAGACAAAATGGACAAACGGTGGATACATAATCATAATAGATGTGATGTTGAGTACTTGGATGGAATAGATAAGTTCACTGAATTTGCAACTAGACACAACCCAGATTCAACTCATATCCGATGTCCATGTAGAAGGTGTAACAACTCAATGTGGGAGACATTCGAAAATGTTCGATTTCATTTAGTAAGAAATGGGATGATGGAGACCTATACTACTTGGTATCATCATGGAGAACGATTAGATCAAGCTTCGTCTTCATACGTGACACAAGTGGACACTGTTGAATCTAATGTGGATCCTAGTGAACAAGTTATGAATATTGTAAATGACGTTTATCCATACGCCTCGAGCAACACCAATCAGGAAGGGGGAGATGATGTTCATCCAACCATGGACAGTGAGGAATTTAAAAACTATGAAAAACTATTGAAAAATGCCAAGCAAGAATTATATCCGGGTTGCGAGAACTTTTCGGTGCTCTCAGCAATTGTAGAGTTGATGCATGGAAAAATCAAGTTTCGTTTGTCAAACAAGTGTTTTGATTACTTTTTGGGAGTTATCAAGAGGATGCTTCCAAAGGAGAATTGTTTACCTGAAGATCATAAAAGTGCCCAAAAAGTGTTGAAGGGTCTTGGATTGGGGTATGAAAAAATTCACGCATGTGTAAATAATTGTATATTGTTTTATAAGGAGAACAAACAGTTGGATACATGCCCTATCTGCAATGAGCCAAGGTTTAAAATGACATCACAAAATAGAAAGACCAAGATTCCACAAAAAGTAATGCGTTATCTTCCATTGAAGCCTAGGTTGCAACGATTGTACATGTCGATGCATACGGCAACCGACATGAGATGGCATAAAGAAGGACGGGTAAATGACGATGTTATGAGGCATCCTGCAGATGGAGAGGCATGGAAAGAATTCGATCGGATGTACCCTGATTTTGCAGCTGACCCGCGAAACGTCAGATTGGGACTTGCCACTGATGGATTTAATCCGTTTGGGGTTTTAAACCTAAACCACAGCACTTGGCCAGTCGTCGTTTTTCCTTATAATCTGCCGCCTTGGAAGTGCATGAAAAAAGAATACATGATGTTGACTTTATTAATGAGCGAAGATCTAGGAAAGTCCATTAATGTTTATTTGCGGCCGTTGGTTGATGAGCTAAAAGATTTATGGGAAAACGGTGTTCGTACATACGATAAGTATACTGGGCAGATGTTCACCATGCGAGCGGCAGTGATGTGGACAGTAAACGATTTTCCCGCCTATGCAATGGTTTCTGGGTGGATGACTAAGGGTTATTTGGCATGTCCAATATGCAAGGAGAACGTAACATCGTCTTGGCATGCGAGAAAAGTTTGTTATCTTGGTCATCGTAGATGGCTCCCTTGGGACAACGAGTGGCGTCATAACGATAAAGCCTTCCATGGCACAAAAGAGACTCGGCTAAGACCAAGAGAATGGTCCGGAGATGAGATTTTGGATCAGTTAAATAGTTTGGAATTTGGTCATTTCGGCAAAGGGGTCAGTCAGCCCAGACCAACTACACATCTAAACTGGACGCACAAGAGTATGTTATTTGAGCTCCCGTACTGGTCAAAGTTAAAATTGAGACACAACCTAGATGTTATGCATATTGAGAAAAATGTGTTTGATACTTTGGTCGGGACAATTCTAGACATTGAAGGAAAAACGAAGGACACGATTGAAGCTCGCCTCGATTTGGAACGAATGGGCATTAGGTCATCCATGTGGATGCAGAGTGTCGGTGGTACAATGAAGAAAGGCCATCCTTTTTTTACAGTTAAGCCAAATGGGAAGAAAGAGTTTTTCAACTTTATTTCTTCTGTAAAGTTTCCAGATGGGTATGCTTCCAATATCTCGCGTTGTGTGAATGTGAAGGGGTGTAAATTTTCAAACATAAAGAGTCATGATTGTCATGTGATACTCCAACGCCTTCTTCCGGTTGGTATTCGACACTTATTGCCTCTTGATGTGGTGAAACCAATCGTGTTGTTGTCGAGATTTTTTTCGCAGTTGACTGCAAGGTGTTTGCGAAAGTCAGATGTTAAACAATTGCAGGAAGACATTGTGAACGTCTTATGCAAATTTGAACAGATATTTCCCCCAGCTTTCTTTACAAGTATGATTCACGTGATGATTCACTTGCCAGATGAGGCATTGCTTGCCGGACCAGTGAACTGTCGATGGATGTATCCAATAGAAAGGTAATTAAGCGCGTGTGTGTGTGTGTATATATATATAACAAATTCATGATCAACGAACGCTTTGAATAATTTGTAGCATACCTTTTATTTGTGCAGATATATTGGTGAATTGAAAAAGTGTGTCCGAAACAAGGCAAAGCCCGAAGGATCACTGGTGGAGGCATGGGTCGCATATGAGTCACTTACTTTTTGTGCAATGTATCTTCAAGATGTTGAGACAACTTTCAATCGTCCTCAACGCAATAATGACGGTGGTGTCAGAAAAGAAGAAACTGTCTGTTTTTGCCCAAATTTCGCGACCATTCGGCGATCCTGTAAAAGGCGAATCGTTTACCAAAAATGACATGGAGGTAGCGCATTGGTTCATACTCAACAATTGTCACGAGGCTTTGCCATACCTTGAAGAGCATGAACGGTTGATGAAGCGGGAACATCCTTCACATTTATATGCGAAGAAGCATCGTGATTTGTTTCCTTCGTGGTTTCACGCACATGTAAGTTTTATGTGGTTTGAATTAAGCATATTTTCCAACTTGTTCATGCCTGTCTTTAAATTTGGTTACATTAACAAGTTAACTTTTTGTATATGTTATATTAGATGAACAAATTGAAGGAATTGAATTCACCCTCTTACGATGAAGAATTATATATAACTTGGCGAGAGGACCACTTCATGTTGAATTGTTCTCGGGTTGTCATGTAAATGGGATCAAGTTCTTAGGGGCAACACGTGATGACAAGTTGTCTACTCAAAATAGTGGTGTCCATGTCCCAGGTGCTGGCGACAGTGAAGACATTGATTTCTATGGCAAACTAACTTGTGTAGTACAATTGCTTTACAAAGACAGGTGTCAAGTGATACTGTTTAAGTGTCTTTGGTTTGATACAAACCCACATAACCGAACGAGTGTTAAGCAAGATCATGGTTTACTATCAGTAAACACTACGAGACATTGGTACGATGAAGACCCATACATTTTGGCAACTATGGCGAAACAAATATTCTATCTAGACGACCCTAAAGCCGGCAATGGTTGGAAAGTTGTTCAGAAGATTGATCGAAGAGGGCTATATGATATTCCGGAACTAGATCATGATGAGAACGACGACAATGTCGCTGACCAACAGTTATCATCTTCGATAGAAATTGGTGAAGAAACACTTCGGGATACTAATATTGTCCAAGAACCGTTTGACGTACCTGGAGTTCCCGAATTCGAAATATCAATTGACCTTGGTGATCTACCTCAATACAATGCAGCGGAAAAGGCAAACGAAGATGAGGACGAATGGGAATCCGGAAATGGTAGTAGTAGTGATGATAGTGAGAGTTATTATTGTAGTTCGGATGAGGATTAATATAAACTTGTGAAGGAAAAAGCAGGAGGCTGAGGGTTTAACACCGCTTCTCATCTACCACACTAATATTCCCAACAAATTATCTCATCGTCTCCATTCTATAAAGATAAAGATATCATGTAAGTTGTATGTTTTATGTTATCTTTATATTTGTTTTACTCTTAGTTGCATTTGATAATTGCGTTATTATGACAATTTTTCAATTGCATGATTGATTTTTTTTTCTTTCCTACATCAGGTTGTCATTGTTGCATTTTTGACATGGCTTGGATGGTTCATCCCTGGAGAATTTGGTCTTTTTTTCCGGAAAACTAGATACCAAAAGGCATGGATAAATTTGAGCTGGCATTACAATTCGGTATCTCAGTATTAGTGGTTGCTTGCCCTTTTGCCATGGGACTAGCAATCCCTACGGCAGTAATGGTTGAAAACAAATTGCTTTTCAATTTAGAATCTGGGTTTTCAACTTTTCATGCATTTTATTTTCATGTTTTTTTGCTGGTGTACCTTCATTATACTTGTTCCTACTTACTTTTCCTTCCGATGACGTCGAAAACCTGTTTGTTTTGGTATTAGGAAAAGACAATTACTGATTAGATACTATCCATATGTCTGAGGGTGCAAGTGTATTGGGATTGAACATGCAACAATCATTTCATAGTTGGAATCTGTCTCATATGACTCTTTGGTTCTGACGATTGGTGGCCTTGTCCATGTCAAGCCATACTCGCCAAGTTTTAGATCCCAGTTTCTTGTAGATAACAGCTCTCATTGAGGGAGAGTTCTCCCCAACTCCTTTTCTGATAACAATGTAAGAATTCATGTGATTTCATCATTCTTGAATTCATATATGTGAGTTCATCAAACTGCCGATTGCAGCTGAACTTGGTAAATGAGCTGTATATATGGTTAGACTTCTTAAGGTTTTATATTCGAATGAAGTAAAACATACTGGAGGGAAAAATGTGATTAAGCCATGTTTGAATTAATGAAGAACAGTTGGCTTAATAATAACTGAAGATAACTGCATTATTAATGGGATAAGGCAGTTATCAGATATAGAATGGGATTGGTCCCTCTTCTCGGTATAAATATGGATGATTCACAGTTAAGCAAGGTTGCCCCATTTGAAACCTAATACATCCATTGTAGTCGTACAAGAGAAGGGAAGATACATCCTAAAACAGATCATGGCTTCAAGTTCAGGTTTGCATGCTTATTCATGTATATCAGTCCATGCATTGATTTTGGTATAATTGGGTTCTGCCGCTCAAGCGGTGGTCTCTGCCGCTCAAGCTGTAGTTCTGCCGCTCAAGCGGTGGTCTCTGCCGCTCAAGCTGTAGTATGACTGAGTTCTGCCGCTCAAGCGATAGTCTCTGCCGCTCAAGCGGTTATCTATTGCAGTAAATCTTAGTGTTTATCAAATATGCCATTTGTGTTGATTTACATGTAGTTTAGTAACTTGATTGATTGGATCCTGAATTATATTAATTTTAATAAACAAGGCTAATAATTGTTTCGTTCTTTTTGTTTTTTTTTTTCCTTTCTAAAATTAAAAGTTGAACAAAAGGGCATGAAGGTACCTAAGTCATGAAGGTTGATAAATTTTTTAGCATTTCACACTTTATTGATGTCTGGACGTTTACTGACATGTGTTTGATCCCTGCAGGTGAACACGGTTGTCTTTGATATAACAGGAACTCTGACAGTTGGGAAACGGTAGTTAATGCAGTGCTCGTTTCCAATTACTCAATTGAGGAGTTCTGTGCTGTATCTATTGCCACAGAGGTTGGTGCTTATATTTCAAATTTGTACATTAAAAGCTTCATTTGCTTAGTTGCATTAAAAATGTTAGTGTTTGTAGAGTAGTTAGGATGAAAACCTCTCGGAGGCTCTGACCTTTTTCAATTACACTCTCACGATGCAGTTTCCAGCTCATAGCAAGGGAAGGACGCCATGGGAGCCTCTTTACAGGCCTGCGGGCGCCAGAAGTACGTCGAAACCGGACGCAAAGTCCACAACTTGGTCTCTGCGTTGACCGTTTTCAACTGTGATTTTGTTCTCAACACACGCATCATTACCATGTGCAATGTGCGGTTCTCCTTTGGATTCCCGCTCAGTTTTCGACGGGCTGAAGAGGAAGAACTTGTTCCAGTGGAATGCGCTTGTTAGTGGGTATGCAAGAAACGAGCTTTTTGTTGATGCCATTGATGTGTTTGTGGATTTGATCAATAGATGGGACTGATTTCGGATGTGTTTGTAGGCAATGCGTTGATTGCAATGTATGGGAAATGCGGGTCGGTTGAGGATGCAGCTAAAGTGTTCGAGATAATGCCTGAGAAGAATTGTGATTTGTTTGAATTGTAAGAGGCTGCTAAAGACGTTTGGATCAACTGAACATGTGATGGAGGCTAAGGATTTTGAGGTGCACACAGGAGCTGGCGTTAGTGGAAGAGTTGGTGGCAAAATGGTTTTGGTTGGGACTTAATATGTGTTTACAAATTAATATTTCTTGTAGTTTAAGCAAATACCAAGCCAAAGTTCCTCTAAAATAACGGTATCTTTTATTTATTAGGCCAAGCATAAAAATGAGATACATATATAGTATATTATGGGAATATATGAACTATGGAAGATATGCCTGACAATTCCTGACACGACCCAATAACACGACACGACACGACACGGAAAAAAGAAAATGAAACAAAAAAAGAGAGGGAAAATGAAAATTAATAAAAGTTGTGAGAAATTTTTTTTTTTTTAAGTTATTAACTTTTTATCACATATATGACATATCCCACTATTTTTATAATGACACGTAATATACTACTTCGTGTACCAGTAAATTATACGTACAAAATAAAGAGATTTAAATCTACTTAATAAATATATATATATATATACACACCATTGAACTTGATGGGATACGAATTATACGAAACTAATTTCAACGATCCAACCGTCAAACTTGTTTGTATATACTTCGAGATCGTATCAGCAAAAAATTGCAAAAACCAAACATTCAGAGATTAAGTAACCGAACAAAACTTTTCAATGGTTAAAAAACGAAAAATCACGATTTAACGGTTATTTTAACTCCGATTTTGATTATTTTTTATAGCTACACTCCTTAATCCTATATGAATACAATGAATGAATTCGATCTTCAATTTAAAATATTTACACTAGTGGATACCAAAAAAATCTTATGTTATACTTAATGAAAGTATGAATAAACTCTTAAGTATTAGTGAATTTATTGTTTTGATGGGATACTCATTCTACGAAAGTAGTTTCAAGGATCCAACCGTCAAACATGTTTGTATATACTTCGAGATCGCATACGCCAAAAATTGCAAAAAACAAACATTCAGAGATCAAGTAACCAGACAAAACTTTTCGACGGTTATAAAAAGAAAAATCATGATTAACGGTCATTTTAACTCCGATTTTGATGATTTTTTGCAGCTACACTCCTTGACCCTATATGAATACAATGATTGAATTCGATCTTCAATTTAAAATATTTACACTAATGGATACCAAAAAAATCTTATGTTATACTTAATGAAAGTATAAATAAATTCTTAAGTATTAGTGAATCTATTGTTTTGATGGGATACTCATTCTACGAAACTAGTTTCAATGATCCAACCGTCAAACATGTTTGTATATACTTCGAGATCTCATACGCCAAAAATTGCAAAAAAACAAACATTCAAAGATCAAGTAACCGGACAAAACTTTTCGACGGTTTATAAAAAGATAAATCATGATTTAACGGTCATTTTTACTCCGATTTTGATGATTTTTTGCAGCTACACTCCTTGACCCTATATGAATACAATGATTTAATACCCCTAAAAAACTATAATAATTATATATAATATAATTACATATATATATTAACTAATTAGATATATATTTACTAGTGGATTTCGTACAACGCGTTTTTGATCAAGTTCAATGATATATATTATTTACTAAATAGATTTTAATTTATTTATATAATACTTATAACACTTAAGAAATTGAATGATATATATATGTAAAAATAAAAATTTTGTTGGTTTTTATTAAAAATATATTATTTTGGGGTTTATGTAAAAAAAAATTGAATTTGAAAGCAGTAAAGTCATATTTTCAGTAATTTTTATAATAATTGAAAAAAAAAAAAAACTTTGCGCGACGCCTTAACATGGTCGTCGCGCAAAAGCACTTTGCGCGACATCAAATTGTATACCAACGTCGCGCAAGATATGATAAATTTCGCGCTCCAATGCAGTGAAAAAAAGGCGCTTTGTTTCAATTTTTCCTAAGTTTCGACTCTTTCCCGTATAATTAATAGACCTCTCTTCCCTCTTGCACTCTTTCGGCCTTTCCCTCTTTCCCATATAACCTCTTGCTCATCTATCCTCTCTTTCCCTCTTTCCCGTATGGTTCCCTTGCTCACCTCTCTTTCCCTCTTTCCCACCCTCTTCCTCACCTTTCTTTCCCTCTTTCCTGTATAACCCTCTTGCTCATCTCTCCTCTTTTTCCCGTACATATCTCTCTCCCTCTCATTCACAAGCTTTCCTCTTCACAATCACGAATCCAACCATCACCACCACTACTCTCTGTCAGTTGTCTCTCTCCCTCTCGTTCTAAACGACGGGCAGTGACGCGAATCTGGAAACTGACGCGAATCAAGTCCCAAATTCAAGGTGAGGGTTTCTGATTTTTTATGGGTTTTTGTTATTTAGGGTTTAGGTTCAAATTGCATGTTGGGTTTTGTCAAATTGATTTTTTTTGTGATGTGATTCAAGTTGATTGTGTGAAGTTTTTGCAATTTTGTTGATTTGTATGTGTATTTTGTGTATGAACATGAAGGTGTTTTCGGTGAAGCTTTTGCAATTTTGTCGATTTAGGATGCGAAGGTGGACTCACATAACATAATATCAAATCAAATGTATTCAATAATCCAAAAAATTGGGACATAAAATATTGATTAACCTTGACAAATGCTTGTAAACTATAAATTCTTGAAGCTGTTGTTATCTAAGAGTCCTCCATGCACTTTATGTAAAGTAATGTGCTAAGACGCTACAAATGGAAGCAGTTGCTGAGCTCATTAGACTCAAGTCTCTCTGCCCCATTCTTCAAAGTCATCAACATTTGTTAAACTGTCTTTGTTTTTGTTTTTGTTTTTGTTTTTTGTTTTTTGTTTTTTGTTTTTTTTTTTATGTTTGGCAGTTTTTATGAGTTATTACCAAAATTGATTTGAGTATGTAGAGCATAATTTGAGCATTTTTGAAATGAATCTGACCTTCACCGAAAGTCAAAGCCTTTGTGTAATTTCCCCTGTTTGTTTATAGAGGATATTAGGTGAAGCACATGCCTTTACTAGATATATTTAGGACCTTGGATGTACAAGTTAAGAGGGGAGAGAAGACTTGTAATTTACTCTTTGATGTACAAGTTAGGACCTTGGAATATACCATACATAGGAAGTTAGAACTCATGGGTGATTTACTCTTCTAGTCTCAGTTCTCTTTCTCTTCTCTGCTTTTCCTTTTCCCTTTAATTTTCTCATTTCTCTGTTTTGCTTCTCTGCAATAATTAAATACATATTCCAAGCATATATATGTGTGTGTACATATATGTATCTATATGCAAATATTGGAAGATTAGTTGGTTGGATGATGGATTGCAAAATGTTTGCCACTGCATTTTGGAATTTCCATTTCTTATTCTGTTTTAATTTTATAATAGTTTTATTAGTTTTAACCATATTAGTAATTTAAGTTTTTCTTTTTAAATGGATTAATGGGTTTCCTACTTTGCTTGATATCACAGTTCTTAACTACATAACTAGATTACCGAAAATAAGACTTGAATTTGAGTCTTCATCCCTTGTATCGAAAAATGACTTAAATTTCATCTTTTTCTGTTGTTTAATGTCATAACTTATGTGATTTAGCTTTTCGTTCTGATTCTTCATATTGGGGAAGATATTGTTTCTTCTTTTTCATCATCCTCTTTTTGTATCACCTTATTCCTTGAAATAAAATGAAGTATCAACTCTAGGACAAGTAAAAGTTGGTGCATGGTAGTGATATCTCTGGACAGTAGCTGACAATAAGTGAATCACCAGATAGTGGCAAATTGCAAATGAATAATATCAGCCATACACCAGTGACATTTATTTTGTGTATCTAATTGTTGATCCACACACATATACACAAGGTTGTTCATAAGGTTGTTGCATATAATTTGTTACTTGCTCAATTTAAATATACATTGTCCGTACTTTTTTTGAAATTAAGAATGTTGGTAACCTACTTATTACTTTGGTTGCTAATTGATTAGTTTCTAATGTTATAATTTTATGGTTTAAAAAGTGTATAGATGTCGCATTTGATCACTCGTCGTCGGAGTGTGACCAATGCGCCTCCCACATTATCAGCATCTACTGCTCCATGCGTGAGTGCTCCATTGAATGGGGAGCCTACTCCCTTTATTGAGGCTACTCCTACGGCGTCCCAGGTGCCTGTCTCATCGACGTCATCAGTGTCCGTTCACCCGCTCAGTGCACGGCGGCCTCACCGGCGTCGTCGCGAGCCGGACCCTTATGATCACACTTCCTCAGCATCCAGGGTTGAGGGTGAGGCCTCCCAGCCAGGTAGTTTTTTTCTAATTCTCGATCACTACGTTGTATTTTTTTTTTTCATTTTAAAAGTATTTATTTTTATGATGCTGAAAATTTGCTAGATTGTGAAAATGTGTTGTGGGTTGTGAATTACTGTTATTTTAATGTTTTAAGGTTTTGGGAAATGCTTTACTATTAGGGGAAGTTATGTCGAATTTTCTGTGCAAATTTAAGCTTAGGGTTTTCACCATTTAAGTATTTTTGGCCTAGCTAAAAAAAAAAACTAGGGGGCCTAGTCGAATGCTGAAGCCAGCACAGAGTGTACGTTTGACTGGCTCTAAGATCAAGATTGAGTATGACCCGGTACATCGTGGAGCTGCTACAGCACAGCAGCATAGCATCGTCGTTAGTAGCTGTGGTGTTGTTATTAAACAAAATTGTCCTATGCAGTGGGAGAAGTGGGCAGAAATTCCCGATAGGACGAAGGATTTGGTGCGAGACAAGTTGTCGGTTAGTATATTAATTTTTAGCCTTTATAATGAAGTTGTTTGTTAGTATATTAATCTTTATCCTTTAACTACTTGGTTCTTCATAAAAATATTGTTCTTCTTGATGTTCTGTATATTCATTTTGACTTACTGGATTACTTAGGTATGTTTCGAATTTGGTAATGAAATTCAATCATCTAACTCTTTTATCTAGTTATTTAATTCATTTTGATCTATTTCATCAAATTTGAAATTAACTCTTATGTTTCTTTTTCAAATTCATAAGCTAATCTTATTGAATCTTGTTTATTATAATCTTGTACTTTATGCCATGTTTGAGTTGCTTGTTCATGAATGTCATTGGGTTCATAAATTATATTTACGATTCTTGCATTCTTTTTATCTAAATAAACAAATTCGAATTCAATATCATTTTTTTAGTTTTGTTTACAAATAATAAAAACCAAATTATATTATCTTAATATTATTAAATTTCTTATTATTATTTTATTGTTTTTCATATTCGTAGGTCATTTTTGATCTTGATGATATATCCCCCGAGGTCAAGGCCTACTTAGACGAGACCTTAGCAACCCGGTACAAACATTGGAAGAACTATCTTCACACGCATTTTCAGCTATGGGATACTTTGGAGATTGCTCGCCTAAGTGGTTGCCCAAGCGAGTTGAAGGACCGGCCAGAGGATTGGGAGTGGCTCTGCAAACATTTTACGGACCCAAAATTTGTGGTATGTACATAATATTTTAATAATAATTTCTTATTGTTTTAGTTATTTTTAAGGTTTTTTTATTAATTTATTTGAAATAGTCGCACTAACATGTATATTGTGTGTTTAACAGAAGAAATCTGTTGCTGGCAAGATAGCTCGGGAGTCAAAGACACTTCTTCACCATTCCGGTTCGAAGCCCTTTTCGTATAGGCTTGAGGCACGACGTCAGGTAAAAGTATATTAATTTAGAAATTTTATACAATTTATTTATTATTATTGATTAATAAAATTTTCTTAATGTTTTTTTTTTCTTCAGGAGGGTTCTAAGTTCCCAGAGATCGACATGTTCGAGGATGTTTACGTTCGACCTGGAGATGCGAACAGTGAGCATCTTCATGTAAGTAAATGTAATTGTTATTATTCTTATATGTATGCATGAATCGTTCAAATATTATTATATATATATGTTTTTTCTTTATTATTACAGGCTCTTATGGTGGAAAAGCGCACTGCTGTTATCCAAGAAGCAACATCGCAGCTTCCCCCTGAGACCCCGATTGAGGACGTCCCGGTACCCGAGGATGCAGGTTTTCAGATCATGACTGATGTCTTAGATCAGAACCTTGGTCGTCGTCATGGCAAGGTTGTTCGTGGCATGGGGAAAGCACGAGTTCGTGAGACTGGTGCCTCTTCTTCCAGATCGAACACCGCAGAGGTCGATTCATTGAAGGAGCAAGTGACAACCCTACAGGGTCAGCTTCAGGTCCAGGGCGAGCAGATGAGGGAGCAGATAAGGGCCCAGGGCGAGCAGCTGCAGGCTTATGCTGGCCAAGTGAGAGACCTTGTACGAGCCATACAGATGACTGGCCTCCAAATCTCACTACCAGTAGTACCTGATCTTGCTACACCTTCGACTTTCGAGCCACTTCACCCTACTGATACCTAGTAGCCATTTCACCAAGAAGATTACTTGTAGTTTTTTTCTTTTTCATTCGGACATAAACAATACATTTCCATATTTATATGGAAATGTATAAACCCTATATATATATTATAATGAAATATTTTTCTTTGGTGCATTAATTATTGTTTATAATTGTAATTACAAAGAAAATAATATTTTTGACCATTTCTTCAAAAAAAAAAAAAAAAAAAAAATCCACTTTGCGCGACGTAGTTTACGTCGTGCAAAGTCAAGCGACGCTACTTTGCGCGACGTAGCATACGTCGCTCAAAGTAGATTTGCGCAACGAAGGGTTACATGCGTCGCGCAAAGTTGATTTGCGCGACGTTTCATACGTCGCGCAAAGTAGCGTCTCTTGACTTTGCGCGACGTAGACTACGTCGCGCAAATCCACTTTGCGCGACGACGGGTTACATGCGTCGCGCAAAGTGGATTTGCGCGACGTAGTCTACGTCGCGCAAAACAGCTTTGCGCGACGTAGCTGCGTCGCGCAAAATCCACTTTGCGCGACGACGGGTTACATGCGTCGCGCAAAGCCTTCTGTCACTGCCTTGCCGCGACGGTTTGCGCGCGACCAAGGTGAGTTGGGCAAGGTTTTGCGCGACGTTTTTTTACTTTGCGCGACGACTGACCTGCGTCGCGCAAAGTGTTTTTTTTACTAGTGACTTGAATTAGGATTTTATAGCTTGTAATATTGTTTTGCGTATGATTTTTGAATGAAATATATTATATTTAACTTTTCAATGTTAATTTTGATAAATTTTTTGACCTTTATTAATGAGACCCCTCGAGTTTAAAATCCTGAATCCGCTACTGATTAGAGAAGTCTTAATTAGTTTTAGAGAGGTCTTAATTAATTAAATAAACACAGCTCGGAAACATTTCACGTCAAATAAGACTTCAGTCTCACAATATGATTCAATTTTTGTGTGTGTAATGTATATATGTGGTTAGCACACACCAACACCGTAGCTGACAACTAAAACTTCAATTAAAATAGTCAACGTTCAAACTTCAAAGGCCTTATACACGCTTTTACTTGCATGCAAAAACTCCAATTTCTGTTCAAAATTGCGATTCAAGAAAATAGTAAAAAAACTCGACAAGAGTTCGTCAAAATACCTCTATACCATTAGTAATGTTAATAAAAAAATTTGAACCAGGACAACTTAATTACAAAATATAAAGTAAAACTTCTTTATTATAATACTCTATATAGGAATAACCTCCTTAATTGTGATAAAAATTATGGTCCCAACTTGCACTCAGTTTATATATGTAAAGAATAAACTCCGCATTATAATAAGATGATTTTTATAGGTCACGTATTAAGACCTCGCCCCCATGTAGTAATAATCATTAATAAGTACAAAAATATGCAACGCTACAAATAAAAGTTTAAGATGAACTAAAATATTTCTCTATAATTGTTTGAGACAATGTATTATTTTTTTTAAGTTGATATCATGCTTTTGAGCTTGCGAGTACGTAATATCTCGTCAAATGGACGGTTTCTTGTTGAAGCCCAAATGTTTCTAGCTTCTCAAGCATGTTTCCGATAAGCATTAAACTTAAAGAGAGTACTACATACAACATGCACTAGATTTTAAAGATTGAGTGTCTTTCTTTTTTCAATGTTACATCTTAGAAATTGACGTACTCCACTAATAATATTTTTTAGCTACACCTCTATTAAGTAATAACGTCCCTAAAGTTATAAAATTCTCTTGGTTCTAACATGATGACTATATAGAGGTTTTACTGTCTGGATTAATTAAGTAAACAAAGCTATAGCTCGTTTCCAAAAAAAAAAAAAAAAAAAAAAAAAACAA